AAGAGGATTAAACAGAACAGTGCCCAGTCCTATATAGGGACCAGAAATAGAGCCTGTTACTATCAGTCACACTGGAAAATTTCATAATTCATGAGCCATTGTGTAGAGTACATAGAAGGGACTTGCCTCAGTAGTAGGGAATAATTAGCCCTAGACTAAACACCGTTCTGGTTCCACCTAACAAATCTTAACAGCAAGACCCAAAAGAATCAAACTGTTTCCAAGTAACATAACTGTGTCCCTGAACAGAATTGAAAAATACTTATAGGAATACAAAAATATCCAGCACCCAACAAGGCAAAAATCACAATGTCTGGCATTCAATCAAAAATTACCTGGCATGCAAAGAAGCAGGAAAATGCAACTCATAATGAAGAGAGAAGTCAATCCATTTACACTGACCCAAAACTGATAGAGATATTAGAATTAGCAAACAAGGACATTAAAACAGTTATTATAATTCTATTCCATATGTCAAAAAAGTTTAGACATGTAATATATTAACAAGATCCAAATTAAAATTCTAAAGATGAAAATTACAATATCTGAGATGCAAAATTCACTCAATAGAATTAACAAATGATTAGACTTTGCAGAAGGTATTGAAGATATAGCACTAGAAACTATCCAAAATGAAACAAAGAGAGAAGAAAGAATTTTTTTAAATGAAAACAGCACCAGTGAGATGAAGGAAAACTTCAAGTGGCCAAATACACATGTAATTGGAGTCACTGAAGAAGAAGGATGGGCAGAGAGGCAAAAATACTTTAAAAAACAATGGCCCAATTTCCCAGATGTGATAAGACTGCAAACACACAGATCCAAGAAGCTCAATGAACCTCAAGCACATTAAATAATAAAATTGCTCAAAACCAGTAATAAAGAGAAAATCTTAGAAGCAGCCAGAGAAAAAAATGATATGCACATACAGTGGGACAAATATAAGAATAAAGGCAGATTTCTCAATGTAAATAATGCAAGCAAGACAGAGGAGCAACATCTTTAAATTACTGAAAGAAAAATCTGTCAATCTAGAATTTTGCACCAAGCAATAATAGCTTATAAAGGCAAAAGAAGAAAGAATTCATCACTAACAGACCCGAAATATAAGAAATAGTAAAAGACATCTTTCAAGTAGAAGGACAATGAAACAGATGAAAATATGGATGTATGTGAAGGAATGAAGAGCATCAAAAATGGTAACTATATGGGTAAATATATAAAATTATTTTTCTTATTATGTCTTTAAAAGATAATTTACTATTTAAGGAAAAATAATAAATTATGGAACTTATAACACATATATAAGTAGAATGTATGACAATACAGCATAAAAGCTTGCAGGAGAGAAATAAAAATATACTATTGTAAGGTTCCTATACTGTGTACGAAGCGGCATAATAGCACTTGGAGGTACACTGTGATATAGTAAATATATTTTTGGAAACCCTAAAGTAACCACTAAAATAACAAAAGAAAATTATAGCTAGTAAGTCAACAAAAGAAATAAAATGGAATCATAAAAACACTCAATCCAAAAGAAGATAGAAAGAGAGAAGAAAGGGAACAAAGAAAGATGGGTCAATAGAAAATAAATAGCAAGATGATAAACAAATCTAACCACAACAATATCACATTAAATATAAATGATCTAAACACCCTCAATTTAAAGGTAACAGTGTCAAATTGAATAAGAAAAGAAAAAAGGCCTAAATATACACAGTCTACAAGAAACACATTTTAAATATAGAGGCACAAATAATATAAAAGTAAAAGAATGGGAAATGATAGACTATCCTAACACTAATCAGAAAAAAGCTAGGGTAGTTATACTAATAGCAGACAAAGTAGATTTTAAGCAAAAATTACAAGAGGGATACAGACAACAATTTTGCAATGATAAGGGATCAATTCATCAAGAGGGTATAACATTTTTAAACGTTTATGCACTTAATAACAGAGCTTCAAAATAAAGGAAGTAAAACTTGATAGAACTATAAGGAGAAATAGACAAATCCACAATTATTGTCAGAAGTTTCTCTGACAATACCATTCTCTCAAGTATTGACACAACAAGAAGACAGAAAATCAGACAGGATTTAGAAGACTCAAACAACACAATCAACCAATTTGATCTAATTGGCATTTATAGAACACCCCATCCATAAACAGAAGAATGTACATCCTTTTAAAATGGACACTGAAAATAATGATAGATCATATTCTGAGCCATAAAACCACTCTTAATGCATGTAAAATTATTAAAGCCATAAAAAGTACATTCTCTGATATAGTGTAATCAAATTAAAGTTCAATAACACAAAGATATCCGAAAAATCCCCAAATATTTAGAAACTAAGTAACATGTTCTAAAGAACCCATGGGTCAAAGAAGAAAACAAAAAGGAAATTAGAAAGTATTTTGAACTGAATGAAAATGAAAACACAGTTTATCAAAAGTCTGTGGTAAGCCACTAAAGCAGTAGTTAGGGGGAATACTTATATTACAAAAAAAATTCAAATCAATAACCTCAGCTACCACCTTAAAAATCCAGAAAAAAAGAAGAGCAAACTAAATCCAAAGTACACCAAAGAAAAGAAATAACAAAGATCGGAATAGAAATCAATGAAATAGAAAACAAGAGTGAAAATAGATGAAACTCAAGTTGATTTTTTAAGAAGATAAATAAATTACATAACCCTCTAGTCAGATTGATCAGACAAAAAAGAGATGAGACAAATTACCAATATCAAGAATGAGAGAGTGATACCACTATAAATTCCATAGATATTAAAAGAATAATAACAGAATATCATTAACAACTTTTTGCCAATAAATTTTATAACTTACATGAAATGGGCAAATTCCTTGAAACACACAAGCTACCAAAGATCACTCAAGAGGTAATAGATAACATGAATAGCCCTGAAACCATTAAAGAATTAAATTAGTGGTTAAAGTCTTCTTATTAGAAAGGCTCCAAACCCAGATCACTTCACTGGTGAATTCTATTAAACAATGAAGATAGAAATAGTACCAATTCTAACCAAATTCTTTCAAAAAACTGAAAAGGAGGAAATATTTTGCAATTCATTTTGTGAGGTCAGAATTACCCAGATAGCAAAACAGACAAAAATATTACAAGAAAAGAAAACTACAGATCAAAATCCCTCACGATCACAGATGCAAAAATTCTGAACAAAATTTTAACACATCAAATCCAAAAATATATAAAAGAGATAATGCATCATGACCACGTGGGATTTATTTATTCCAGGAATGCAATGTTGTTTTATCATTTGAAAATCCATCAATGTAATTCACCATAACAACAAACCAAGAAACATAAACTATATGATCACTTCAGTAGACACAGAAAATTCATCATCCATTTATAATTAAAACAAAATGAAACAAAACAAAAATCTCTCAGCAAACTAGCAGTCAGTCCTTCACTATTAAGTATGATGTTACATGAAGAATGAGCACTGTGCTGGGAGCAAGACAGACCTCATTGTATAGCCTGTCTCTACTAGGTACTGGGTGTGGGACTTTGAGAAAGTCACACATCTCTCTGAGATTCACTTACTTCATCTATAAAACAAGGTTGGTCATCACTCGGAGACTGATGTTAGCAAAATGGCAACATAGGAATTTCTAGCACTTGTCCCCCATCCCATCCGCCGGAGAAAAATCAATTTGAACAACTATCCATGCACAAAAATACCTTCACAAAAACTAAGCTTCCTAGGTGAGGGATTATAACACCTGAGTAAAGCACAAAAACAAGAAAAGATGCACTGAGGAGGGTGGGAAAGATAGATTCATTCCCCTAATCTCTCCTCCAAGCCTGGGCAGCCCAACACAGAGAGAGAAATCCTCCCTGTGGAGGGAGAGAGAAATGAGCACCTGACTTCACTATGGACGCCAGAGCTACCCAGACTCAGCACCAGGCTGACTTCCATGGCTGTAGGTGGCTCCCAGCAAGCTCCTGTGAACCCAGGCGCCTAGCTCACCCTAGAAGCTGCTGGCTCCAGGGGCCTAGCAGCTCTTGTGGTGCCAGCAGCTTCCAAGGCACCAGGCTATGGGTGGGCTTCCACAAACCCAGGCTCCCAAACCCTCCTGGTGCCTGCCAACTTCCATGGCCCCAAATGGCCCCTGTCGCCCAAGCTCCCAATCAGCCCCCGTGAACCCAGGCTCCAGGCAAACACCCTCGAATCCAGGCTTTCAGCTGGGCGCAACACCAGGCCAACTACCACAGACCCAGGTTTTTTACCCACCCCAGCACCAGGCCAGCTCCCACGGCCCCAGGCCCCCAACACTCCAGCATCAGGCCTGGCCCCATGGCTCCAGCCTCAAGGCTGGCTTGCATGGCCCCAGGCTCCCAGCCTGCTGCAGAGCTATACAGGCCCCTACAGACCAGCCTCCAGGATGACACAGCTTCTTGGCTGGGTGAGACAGTTAGAAGGACTCAGAGAGAGCGCCCTGAGTTACAACAAAATGCAGCACTCTCAAGAGTCACTTTTCTCATCTTCTCCTGCATGCCTGAATCTTTTCCAAATCCCTCTTCCCCAGCACTAGTTAAAGATGACTATCTCAGTCCATCTCTCTAGAAAAGACAATTCCTTGAATTTCTTTCTCAGTCCCAGAGATAATATATTCACAGACCAAGGTCTTCAAAGAAGTGACCTGTAGGTCTTCCCAAGTAGAAAAGGTCAAATCCTCTTCTGAATTAACAAATCCTTTGATATATGACTCTGAGGATACAACGCAGAGAGTCAGAAATTCCTTCCAAGTACAATTTGCTCTCTTTCCCTGTTGAAAATCCTACAGAAAAGCACACAGGTGTGGGCACCAGATGACAATCACTAAACAGTGAAACCTCCCCATGCTTTCCCAGGTCAGATGACACCAAGTCTCCAAAGGCATTAGAAAATCCCAGGTTCCCTCCTCTGTCACACTATCCCAGCAAAGCGGGAAGTCCTGGGCTTTTGACTTACCTGTGTAGAGGTCCGTATCTGTATATTCATCCACTTTCTTGTGCTGCAGAATATAGTCAGAGACCTTGGTCCCAATAGCTGGCTGAACATCCACCCACTCCAAGGAGACCACGGTGCTGGAGGGCTCTACCGTTGGCGATAGCCGCAGCCTAAAGGGGGTGACAGGGAAGGTTGGTTGGTTGCCAGCCAGCATTGTCTGGGCCCCAAAAGATTCTGCAGGATTCATCCTGCACTCAAATTCTGATTCAACTCACCACCAAGCCTTTGTAGGGACTCAGGCATATACTTCTTTCAGCCTCTGTTTCCTCATCCATAAAATGCGGATAAGAAGAGCTACTTTTCGGCATCAATGTGGAATCCAGTAAATTAATCCAAGCACACAATATGTGCTCACAGAAAGTTGATCAGCTTTCCATTTGTTTAGACTATATTCTCAGTGATGCTTCATTGCCAACTAAATTGGCAATGCCTTCAAACACAGTAGCTTTCAACCCTTCTGCCATTCTCTTCAATACCCCAATAGATCAGTCAACCCTTTAATATCCTTAAATCAGTACTCCTTCACAGAGGGCAGGAATCCTGGGAAATCCTTTCATAAAGCAAGAAATAACAGAATGATTGAAGGTTAGAACTAGAAGGGCCCTTAGAGAAAGGGAGGTGCAATCCCCTCATTTCACAGATGGGGAAAGCAAGGCCCAGAAAAGGGAAATGATCTGCACAGTCACACAGCAAGTTGGGGAAAGACCATGATGGTAATGGTAACTTGGCTTGTCCCCAGCCCAGATTCTTTCTCTCTTTCCACTACACCACACTCTCTCTTCAAGGACTATCTTAGAATGTAATTCTTCTCACCCTAGAAAGGTGTTGTGGGACCCTGGTTCCCCAGTGTTGGCCCCTGCCCAGCTCTGCTGTGCTCCTCACACCACTCTCCCTCTTGATCACACTCCTCCAGTCAAGATGCCCTTCCTCAGCTTCCTCAAGTGGTGAATTTCCTGGGTCAGGGCTTTCACACGTGCTCATCCCTTTTGCCTGAGATATGATTGTTGCCCCTTGTTGATTGGCTGAGTCCTACTCGAATTCAGGTCTTTTCAGAGAGGCTTCTCTCCCCTCCACCTGGAGCATCCCCACATAATTCTCCTCATTAGCAATTTTGTTTTTCTTTCATATTTTTATTATGTACTTTTTAAAACTATATCTTCTTTTCCCATTTTTGCTTTGACATCTGTCCCCCTCACTAAACAATCAGCTCTCTAAGTGCACAGACTGTGCCTGTGTTCATTGATGAATTTCCCACTGTCTGACACATAGCATGTGTTCAAAAATTATTTGTTGAATGAATGAATGAATAAAATGAAGTATCTTAGAAAAGGTTCTACACTTTCTTTATCTTGGTCGCCCCAGTGTCCAACATAGGAACCAACAAAGCCATAGTCAGTATCCAGTAAACCTTGGCTGAATGGATGAGTGAAGGAAGTAATGATGGACTGAGTTGAATCACTAAATAGCACACATTGCAACGTCAGTGTCTACCCCTGATCCATGTTTTTGTTCCCCCAAATCTCCCTGCTGTCTTGAAGAAGGAAGCAGGCCCCAGAGATTTCAGGCATCTGGTGAGGAATCCTGGGAACAGAAGCAAGTCATGGCCTCAGTTGGTAGGACAGGGGTGTGAGTCCATGGAAAGAGGGCCATACATACGTACACTGGCTGCGGGAGGGGGCTGCAGTTGGGGAGCCCACTGGCATCAAAGGCGCTGAGGTCACACCTGCACCAGTCATCGATCACGTCCCCTTTCCCTGAGCACCAGTAGGAGCTCATCAGTGCACTCTTGAAGGCCTGGAATAAAGGAGGACAGAAGAGATGATGACAATGGTGGAAAGATTGAAAGTGAAGGTGCCCATGGCCATGATTATAGCCGACTAAAGTTTCAGAGCAGCCCTTCTAGACACAGGACACCATCTCTTGCCTAAATCCCTAGCACTCTACTACCAGGTTCTCCCATTCTGAGCCATTCTCTAGCCAGCAGCCAGAATGGTCATTGAGACAGGATAGTAACAGCATCTACTGAGAACCTCCTCGGGGCCCAGCATTCCACCTATATTAACTTATTCCATCTTCACCACCCTACACAATAGATATTATTATTATTATTATTATTATCATCATCATTTCCCATACTACAATTTGGAAAACTGAGGCACAGAGAAAGTAACTTGCCTGAGGTTCATAGTTAGTGACTGATGGAGCTGGGATCTGCTCCAAGGCAGTTTGGCTCCAGATTCTGCCTTCTTAAACAGCTTGCTACACAATTTCTTGTAGAAGTTTGACCATATCACCTCCCTGCTGAGAAACCTTCAGAAGCTCCTCATGGCCCTCAGGATAAAGTCCAAGCTCCTTGCTTTAGCTCCTGACTACCTCCCCAGTCTCATCTCACACCGCTCTTCTGATTTTCCTTTCCTGCCATCATCCATCCTCAGGCAACCACTAACATTTCCACCAACAGTGAGCTCCTACTTATGAAAAATGTGCTTTAAATCAGGAGAGAGCAGTGTTTCTGTAAAGGGCTAGACAGTAAATATTATCGGCTTTGCAGCCAAGCTGTCTCTGCTACAATTACTTAACTCTGCTTTTGTAGTGTGAAAGTGACATAGACAACACTTTAAATGAATGGGCATGATTGTGTTCCTATAAAACTTTACTTGGAAAGACAGGCAGCAGGCTAGGTTTGGTCTGAGGGCCACAATTTGCTGACCCTTGCTCAAACTGAAGATTGCTACTCTATTTAATTGCAATGTGCTTCATTGCCTTTTGTTTGTTTGTTTTTAAACACATTTTATCTTCTCTGCTGGAGTATTTCCTGCACCTTGTACTCTACGTCATTTTTTTGGTTTCAAATAAAACACTCCTTTCTCTGGGAACCCTACCTTGACTTCCTCAGGCCTCGGATCATCTCCTTTTCTGGACACCATAATGCACTAGACCACACCTACCATCACATTCCCTTGCCTGGCTCATCCAACAGATTCTGATCCCATCAAGGGCACAGGCCATGCCTTATTCACATCAGTCATCTCACGGGACTGAGCACAGTTGTCCAGTCAATAGTTATTGAATAAATGAAGGGACACTGAAAAACTGATCATTAGGCTCAGGCTCAGATGAGCTTTATGCTTTAGTAACTCCTTCTACATTGACATTTCAAAGCATTGGGGAGGCAGAATGTTTGACAGCTCTTTCTAAAACTTAGGGATTCCAGAGAACGTTGCTCTCTTAGACCTTTGCCAGGTAACAGACTACATGCTTTATTTCTTTCTTTTTCTTTTTTTGACTTTCTATGCACTTTTTTCCCCTGCCTTTTCTCCCCAAGTCCCCACAGTAGATAGTTGTATATTGTAGTTGTGGGTCCTTCTAGTTGAGGCATGTGGGACACCACTCAGCATGGCCTGACAAGCGGTGCCATGTCTGTGTCCAGGATTCGAACTGAAGAAACCCTGGGCCACCAAAGTGGAGCGCATGAACTTAACCACTTGGCCATGGAGCCAGCCCCTCTGTGCATTTTTTAAATGAAAGCTTCACACTGCTTATAACCAAGGATGCCTGATTACCCAGGTGACACTTTTTCCATCCTGCATTGTTCAAAAGATTCAAATACAGCATGTTTGTGTAAAGTGGGCCTGGGGTCTGCCTCCTCAGCTACCCAAAACATGAATCTAGAAGGAGAATGGTATGGTATAAGCCTCCATTACATTTCTCCCTGTACCTCTGAAGAGAAGGCTCCAATGACTCCTGCCATATGTTCTTACCCACACCCTCTCCTAGGGGGTGAACAAATGATCTATTTTCCCCTGAATTAAGAGTAGTGACCCAAAGAAACAAAAAAAAGAATTATAATAAAAGCCAATGTTCATGAAGCACCTAATTACACAGAGTAAGGTGCTTTAAGGGCATTAAAAAATGTAATCCTCACAACAGTCCTGAGATAGAGACACTATGATCTTCATTTACAGATGAAAGAATTAAGATTCAGAGCAGTGGAGCCATTTTCCTAAGATCACACAACAAGTGCATGGTGGAAGTAGAATCCCATCCCAGATCTCTGTGACTCCCAAGTGAGACTCCTTTCTACTTAACCATGCAGGGCAGTGGGGTTAAGCCAAAGAAGAGTAGCCAGATTCAGTAAATAAAAATACGGGACACCCAGTTAAATTCGAATTTCAGATAAATAACAATTTTTTTAGCATAAGAACATTCCACTCAATGTTTACATATAGAGTCTGTGGGCCAGGGTCTGGCACACAGTCATAGGACCGTTCCTACTACATCTCAGAACTTACGTTGGGAACAAACGTCTGTTCTCCTACCAGCACCAGAGGGGGCACTCTCATGAGGACAGAAACCAGATGGAACAGCATGAGGTCATACTGACGGAAAGACCTTTTTCTCCCTCCATTTGCAGGTTCTCCCTTACTGAAATTAATGTGCACGACTACCCATGGCTTGAGATTCTGTAACATCTCCAGCCAAGCTAAGGACTTAATTATCGTAATGGTGAAATCCAGGGCCATGGGTGAAAGTGACACAGATGGTAAGAGATGGCCTTGGACATCAGCAAGGGGAGGAGAGGGAACATCCTGTTTTGGTTGTGTATGTGTTTTTATTTTTGTGTGCGTGCGTGTATGCGTATGTGGGTGTATGTGTGTGCGTGTGGTTTTTGTAATCAATAGTCACTTGAGCTTGTGGAAAACAAAACAGGAAATCTCTCTGGACTTTGTGAGTTTCACCATCCAAGCAGCTCTTGGGAAGAAATCCTGCCTGTGAGTCTCCTATGAGCCACTGGCTCTTTCCCAAACCCTGAGGAACAGAACGGGGACTGGTGCAGTGGCCAGGCAAACCCTGGACAGCACACAGATACACCCCGATAGAAGGCCTACATCAAACAGGGAGCCCTCGCAAGGCAGCAGAAGCCAGCACTGTGTCAGCGCAGGATCACTCTTTCCTTACTTCTGCAGTCCTTGCAACACTCCATCCGGAATCCAGTTAGATCCCAGGAGAAAAGAATCATAGAATGTTCCAGCTTCAAGGGACTCTCTAAATCATCTAATCTAATCCCTTTTACAGATGCAGATACAGTGGCCTGGAAAGGCTAGCTGGCTGGTCCAAGGTGATAGAGCAACTTTGTGATGGAATGACTCTGTTCTTCCATTTAACCTCAAAATTACCCTTTGAGATGGGTGTCCTATCCCTATTCACAGATACATGGAGGAGCAGGGACTTTAAGTGAAGTTCGTCTGAATCCTGGCACTCTTGACTTTCCCAGGTCACATCGGAACAATAAATGCCAAGATTTCATCCAAAACATCCTTTTCAGCTGCTCTGCTTGGATCACGCGGCGTCTGTGTTGTTTGTGTGTGTGTGTGTGTGTGTGTGTCCTCAGAGGAAAATGAAACCTTACACTGGAGGCATTGTTGACTCCTGGCTTTTGAGTAAGTGAAGGGACTTAAGAAACAAATCCTGTACTTAATACGAGGGCTAAGGGCTAGATTTGCATGGCCATTGGTTTTCATAACAAAGAAGGTTTGCATTTCCACTACTTGTAAATACTTCCAACTTCTGGCTAATTAGCTAGCAAACCAAGCTGGGCAGAAGGAGAAAACAGCCACAAAAATGTTAAGCAATCAAAATAAACTAGGATTTATTCCTGACTCTGTTGTTACTTTCCTATTTGAACTTGCATAAGCTATTGCTCTTTTCAAGCCTCGCTTTCCCCATCTGTAAAGTGAAGATGCAGAAGATATATTTTTGAAGGTTTAATTAAGTTCAATAAACATTCACTGAATTTCTTACCCCATACCACGTGCCATCTAGATGCTAAGAAAGGAGATGATCAAGGCCCAGTCACTAACTTCAAAGGACTCATAGTTTAATGGTGAAGACACACACAAACAATTACAATTAATATGGTTCAAATGCTATGAAGTAATATACACAGGAGGGTGTGGGAATACAAAGGAAGGGGCCCTTCGAGCTCTAAAAATTTTGACAATGTCTTAAGAATCTTAAATTTTAAGTAAACACTCCGTATTTGATTAAGTTTCTTGGGACCATCTATATAGAATGTCACTAAGCCAGTGAATTAAATTCCATACTTACAATGTCTGTATTTTTTTACACTGTAACTTATACTCAGGGGCTGATATCAAGTCTGTTACTTTTTATATTAAGATGGTTTTGGTTTGTATAACAAAAAAGATGCCCTGAAGTCCTCACTCAAAGCTTATTGGATTTTGTTATCTTCACGGTACTAATAAGCTTGGTCCTGTGGTTGCCTAGTCCATACCAACTGAGGAGGTGAAAGCTGTCTAGAGAGAAAATAATAGATTAGCTTTTTCTCCCAGCTCCCTTTTAGTGCCTACATAAGTCAGCCAATATTCCTTAAATTGAATTGAAAGTTCACATTGAATGCTAAATGAAACAAACCAGTTTATAAATGATAAAAGCAAAAAAAAGAAATATGTGTGTGTGTGATGTTATTCTTCCTCAAGATTACTTGTATTTCCCATGTCAGTGAATAGCACCGCCATCAATTTAGTGCCTCCAGTCAGAAACAAGGGGTCAACCCTCCCTCTACCTCATAACATATCTCAAAACCAACTTCTCTTCCCTGGTCCCACTGCTGTCTCCCTGGCGCAAGTTAGTAATGTCTCATCTCTAGGCAATTGTCATAGCCTCTGGACTGGCCTTTCAGCTCCAATGTCACCTTTTCTAGCACATCGTTCATAGCTTTCTAGAACATCACTGCTTATTCTGCCCCCTTGTTTAGACCCCTTCAAAAGTTC